TGTTCACTAAAGCAAAGAATGTCGGAATTATTATTAATTACTAAAAATAAGTAAAGATTTGGAATGTTTAAATGAAAAATATTTACGTCATATTTGAGTCTATTATGCACAACAGATGTACTTTTAACATATTACCAGAATGTTTCTACTTTGAATAAACTGAAAAGGAAGCTAGAAAAAAGGATTGAATAAGTATTGGCCGTGTCACCCTCCATAGAGTTATAGACACAACATGGTTAGTCGGACGGATCTTACGATTTATCAACGACAAACTTTCACGTTCATTTAACTCGTTTTAATTTTAAGCGGTTTTAAAAAGTTTTGATTTATAGTAAAGATTTTGAGTGACAATATTAAAAATTAAAAGCGATTTTCTGGTTTTTGCACCAACATGTAAAAAAAATGATTTTAAATTCGAGAAACTACTTTTAAAATGAAAGGGAACGTGGAACTAGTAGCGAAAACATTGGGAATCAGTTTAATGATTACGCGGAAACTTGTGCATGAGGAAAAACACAATATAATACCGAAAAAGTCTATAACGTCTAAACGGAAAGAGCGAAAGACTGATAATTGAAGGAACGATGTAAAATGGGGCTTCGGAATATGACTTATAATTTATTTAGATCAATAGCCAATGTAACTCTCCCAGTTTTAAAAGAACCGCCAACAGAACGTATTTCCTATTTCCACAACACTCTTTATTGACACTTCCTGGTATGTACATACTAAATTGTGCCACGTATGTAAAAAGTAACTCTAGTCTTTATATGCCCTCAAGAAACTCAGATATTCAGTACAGTTTAAGACCGAATCTTAACATGAAAATACCTACACATCGACTGTCTCTTACAGGAAATAGTCCCTTTGCTTTAGCTGTAAAAATTTATAATAATTGCCGAATCGGAAGTCAAACAAAATTCAGGTGCACTCTTAAAGACAAATTGCTACGCCCCGCCTATTACAATATTAAGGATTTTCTTTCTTGTGATACCTTTTAATACGTATTCGTTGTTTGTTATTGTTTATATATTTATTATTTATACTATAATTTTATACTTTTACATTCGTATTATGCTGACAATATGCAACACTTGTAAATCAAGTCTTAAGGAAATAAAGCTATCTTTATCTTTATCTAACGTAGTGTCTTAAAGAAATATAGTGAACATTTTATGTAAAAATTTAGAACAGTAGTATGTCTAGATGAAACTGCAAGATAATAGGTATTTTACAGAAGGGAGTACAAAAAAATTAAAGCCTAAAAGGAATGTGGTATGGAAAAATGGTTTGCATGCTCGTTGTTAACATGGAGTGTGACATAATTAAAAAATGATAAAAACTAATACAAAATTTCCTTAAACACCGTTATATTCAAGAATTTTAAACAAACAAGGCACTCCGGCTTGGTAGAAAAATAATAATTACTTACCCAGTAAAACACCAAAAATATATGGCGTAAATGAAATATTTCGCGAATACATGCTTGTCTACATATCATCGCCGGTTTAACACCATAAAATTAATATGAGCAAAAACTTATTACCAAAAAGGGCGCTCTTAAATCCGAGCAATTTCGCGGCAAGATGCATTGACTAAAATTATGCACGCGTTTTTCAATAAATCTGGAACATACAGAAAAATTAATAAGGGACTTGGGGGATTAAGTTTGTGAGTTTAAGGCCTAGAGACCAGTGAGATGTCACTGCTTATTTATAAATAAATAAATTGATGATTAATATTATGAGTTTTTTATACATAATTTCCAGTACAGTTCTTATTCCAACTCTTATTGTTTCAGCTAATGCTTTCGGAATAGTGGCATTGAACTTTTAATTTTCTTTTTATTCTTTGGAATAATTGTTAGGATTTAATGTCTGTGATTTTAGATTGTTGCTAAAATACATTAAAATGAAATAAATTATTACGAATTAAGTAATATAATTGGTGTAAAAATAATGTCATGTGTCTATCACAACACTACGTAAGTTTAGTGTTGGGGCTGGTCAATTGACTGGTCAAATTCGGTCAAAATGTTTTAAAAAACATCTTGAAATTATAAAGTCGTATCTATCATTTCTTAATAATATTATGTATTTTATAATAAATTATTATACGTTTGCGATATTCAATTTACCTACACCCAAAAAAAATGCGTTTTAAAATACACAAGAAATCACCTTTTAATTAATCAACTCTTTTCTCCAATTTAACTAATTACAATATAACATTTTATGTACTTTTGAATATATTTTGATATTGATTTATTTGTTTTAAATGGAACTATATTCAAAACAAATTATACACTTGCTTATTACAAAAGGACATCCTTGCATTCTCTTATGATAATATGATGACTACATTCATCAAACTTGAACGTTTATATTTTAAGGGCAGTCGGTTGTTCCTTCTTCTTCTTGTTGTGTTGTTAGGAGTAACCGCCGTTTGCGTTTTCAGTGTCTCCAAGTTTTTCTAACCATTTTCTTATTGGTTTTTAAAATTTTTGGCGATAAGCAAACAAGCAATGTAGTATAAAATTAAGCATTATAAAATAGTACAACCAAGAAGGGTTAAAAGATCACACCTAAACATTCTTAATAATTTTCTTTTATTTTATTACCAAAACTTAAGTAAAGGCCATTAGGTATGATTGAAAAAAATATGTTTGTTTTATTTTAATATTTTAAGACTGATATTATGAATTCACAGTCCCGGAAAATTTAATTCCAATAAAAAAATTATATTTTATTAAAAAACCTGCTACATTAACATTGCAAGTGCCTGAAACTAAAAAATACGACTTTCTAGCCCAAGGACTTTCCTAACAGTTTATAATGATGGATTTGTTTTTAATCTATAACATGTACAAATTGTTATTTTAAACATTTAGAACAATATTTTTTCTACTCCCGTCTGTAAAATACCTAATTACCCACCGATCTAGCATGCGGGAAGCGTCACTTTACCACGTCAGTTACGTTTCCCATGAATGCGAGCCACTTCGGACATTTCCGGGATTTTACCGCACGGATTTGGGAGCAATCGGATGTTTTCGGAGATATTTCCCACGCTTTGAATTTTGACGTTTGTCAATTCTGACAGTCATGTCAGTGAATGTATTCGTGTTGTTTTGCGAAATTGTACCCAAAAACTAACGATCGTAGAAAAAGTATAATATGCAACACGTTCGGTAAACTTTTTAACTCACTCGTTTATTAAACACTCGCTCCGCTCGTGTCAAATAAACTCACGAATCAAATGCCGTTTACCACACTTGTTGCATAACATACTATTGTGATGCTTAATTCATTATCTATTAATTATAATTTGAATGTTTTCCTTGAAAATACAAATACAGACAATGCTTTTGTTTTAATAAGAATAAATAATTAACAATATCATGCATATGTTAGTTATAGCACCAATGAAGCAAAATCATATTTAATTTTGATCAAAAGTGAACCGCACAACGAATGCGAACATTAAGAAAAGTACTGATTCTTGTGAGACTGCATAGTTAAAATCACAATTTTAATTTCCCCAATTTTCTCCAAGTATCGAATTAATAAAATGCATTTTCTGCTTTAAGCTACAACAAAAACATTTTTCTGAAATTGAACTTGAAGACGGAAGAAGGTAATATAATACCAAAGCTAGTTCACAAATTATTTTGTGTGCTCTAATGTAGCCCGTTACAAAGACAAAACGCCATAGTTGACCATCGCTCCAGCGTTCCGATATGTTTAACGCAATTTCCTTTGCTTGGACTGCACTATAATATAAAATTGTCATAATAAAAATAATAACGGAAAATACTGCAGGCGTATTTTTAAAGTAGAACTTTTGTTTCAGGTACAATAATACTAATAAACAATGAGTGACGCTACCAAGCTTTTCTAAAGTATCCAATTACATAAAGAACACAGCCGGTTTACAAAAATAGACTTTATTTGCTATTTTAAAATACGTGTTAAAATTAAAGTAAACAACTTACTAATGTATGTGTTCTGTGTAGCCGTTTGTGACTAACAACAACATCAATTCCTGCAAATGTCGTATTGGAGGCATTTTTATAATAAAAGAGAACTCCACTACAAGTCCTTTATTTAATCTGCGTCATGACATTCAGACATAAGCGCGCGAGATACCAGACTGAGAGTCCCACATTCTAACCTCTCAGGACAGTAGAATAATAACACCACAGACCACCGAACAAAACCCTGATGCAACAGTAAACCGAAGTTTTGTAATAAAAATAATGTTATCATTTTGTAAAAAAAATAAACCAGATATTGACGAATTTTGAAAAGTTAACTTCAGTTTATAGTAACTTAAATAGGTAATTAAAAAAATTTAATAAAATTTTCAGAAATAAAATACGTCATAACAGATCGAGTGATTGATTTTTCTGGCATCCAACATCAAAAAAAAGCTTGACATTGTCGCAAAAATACAATGCTTCTCCTTCAGGTTTACACTTTTAATATACAACAACATAGACGACTTGCTTGCTCCGATAAAATGTTGGCAGAAATGTAAATTAAAGTGGACTGAAAGCTGCAAATCACCCTCCTTACATACAGATATAGTAAAATCAGTATGATTATAAAAACAAAATTTTAATAACATGTAATATAATAATAATTCATACAAATATCTTAACAATTCTTACTGCATAACATTTTACATCAATTTGTTTTTAGTTATCAATATATTGTACCAGATGTCGAAGTAGCCGATGATCACTGTTTCATTTCAGCACAACTTAGCAGGCGAAGACTTCTTGGATTTTAAAAGTGACAATTACATTTTTTTAATTTTTTTATCATAACATTAAACAGTTTTCTTGATTACAACTTTTAGTATTCTTAGGCTTACATCATGATTTTTTATACAGTTTTACACTCCTGAAACTGACTCCCACTGTTGCCGCTACTGCTTTCTTCGTGTATAAAATAAATTTCAAGCTCCATATTAAAATAAAAACTCGACAAAGAAAAATCTAATATTTATTACCACATTATTCAAAACGTAGATTAACAATTCATTAAAATTCTTCATTAAATGGATATTCTTTTGAGCTTAAAAACTCTAGGGCTGGAACAACTCTTTCGTTGCAGTTATAAGCGTCCAATATCTTTACATCTTCGGGCGACAATTCGAAATCGAATATTTCGATGTTCTTCTTTATTCTATCTGGATTGGACGATTTCGGTATCGGGATAGCACCGAGCTGATGGATGTATCTAAAGGAACAACACAGACTTGCCGTTATATCTAGTTCCTTCACGCAAGAGAGTAACAAAATGGCGGACAATTTTTAGTTTTTAAGAGCTATACACCTCGCATCTTTGCTATAGTTATTTATTTATTTACGGTTTAACAAAATGAACAAAAGTTTTCAACAGTTTTAAACAGTTGCACGCTTTCAGCATTCTAGTAACGGGTGAATAAACTTCATAATTTGCGCGATGATAAGGTATGCGGAACAATGAGTTATCACAGCTTTTATAATATGAGCTAAATTGTATGTTATGTAAAAGACCTGGACAATAATACCAACCATTCCGAATCTTAAAGAGAAGAACTCAATGATTCTGAGATCTTCTGGTAGAAAAGTATCAATATTGAAGGCCTTAGCTATAATACTGTAGTTGATCTGATACCCGTTATAGATACTGATATGCGCCTCTGACGCCAAAGATCTGACATAGATGCAGCTCCAATATCACGATAAAACTTTGTCTTCTTTTAAATATATATCTTAGTAGGCTGCGAAAAAAAAATTGAAGTCTTGCGTCAAATAGTTTTTTATTGACAGCATTTTAAACAAGACTTGTCCGAAAAAATGTCGCAAATAAGCCAAATTGAGTATAGAGCAGTCATAAAGTTTTTGACAAAAGAAGGGCTACCACCTAAAATTATTAAAGAAAGGCTGGATGGTGTGTAAGATCAAAGTTCTCCTTCGTATTCTGTAGTGAAAGAATGGGCAAAACGTCGAAATCCTTGAAGATGATTCAAGAACTGGTCGACCAGTCGAGGTCATACCGGAAGATATTGTTGCGATTGTGGAAGAGGTGGTATTGAGTGATCGACGTTTAAAGGTCAAGGAAATCTCAGAAATTACTAAGCTTTCTGATACAAGTATTCGTCGAATCCTGCATGATCGTTTAGGTATGCATAAGGTTAGTGCAAGATGGGTTTCTAAAAACCTTTCGGCTATTCAAAACCAACGCTGTGTCGAGTCAGCGTGGTCTTTTTTGAAACTCTGTGGGTCGGAACCGAAGCCTGTGAAAGGAGATGAAACTATGGTTCTCTATTATGACCCTCTAACGAAAAAGGAATCAATGGAGTGTCGTCGTAAGGGTGAAGCACCTCCAAGAAAAGTCAGAGTATGCCAGTCAACAAAAAAGGCCACGATCTTTTGGGATTGTGAAGGAATTCTTTTGATAGATTTTAAAGAAACTAATGCCACTGTCAATGATAAATATGACGCAATATTATTACACAAATTGCGAGACTGCATACGTGTAAAACGTCGAGGAAAACTGACCAGAGGCATGCGTCTTTTGCACGATAATGCACCTGTCCATACTGCTGGTGTTGCACAAGCTGCCATGTTAGAGTGTGGGTTCCAACAGATAGATCATCCTCCCTATAGTCCAGATATGGCCGCCAGCGAGTATTGTTCGGATATTTGAAAAAGGACTTACATGGACCGCGGTTTAACGACGAAGTTGAGTTAAAAGAGGCTGTTTTAGCTCATTTTGCAGACAAACCAGAAGAATATTTTTTAAAGGGATTGAGTTGTTAATAAAGAGATGTAATCAGTGTATTGAAGTTAAGGGGGGTTATATTGAAAAATAATAAAAAATTGTTACTCTACTTTGTTTCTTTCATATTCAGGTCGGGAAATTTTGGCGCTGCCCTCGTATCTATATGGCAGGCATAATATGGAGACCATACCAAAGACGTATACTCCAGTCTAGAGCTAACCAAAGAGATATAAAGGAGTTTAAGGCAATGTGGAGTAAGTTGGCCACTATTGCGTACAACAAACGCAAAGACTCGCATAGACCTGTTTACTGCTTCCGCAAAATGTGTCACAAACTTGTCTTGGACCACAAACACTGTCCACGTCTCTCTAAGCAGCAGAGCATCCTCGCGCGATCCAACCCTCCTGAATATCTTCAAATAATCTGCAAACAAAAGACACTGCGATTCCGAAAGTACACTAACCATATCATTTATAAACATGTTAGAAAGGATGGATTCCGTATGGGAACCTTGGGAGACTCTTGAAGAAATATTAATTTTACCTGAGACATAATTATTAATACTAAAAAACTGAGTACGACCAGATAGAAAACACTGAATCCATTGCACCAGCCCAGCCCCCAGGCCCATAGCTCTAAGCTTAGAGACAAGATGCACATAACCCACCCGGTGAAAAGTCTTCGAGAAATCCGTGCAGACACAATCCACCTGACCAAACTCCTCAAAGGCGTTCAATAAAATTGTTGGTAGGTAAGTAAATTTGTTACGGTAGATCGACCCTGTACAAATCCATGCTGTTGATCGGCCAGAATTCCCCTGCAATGCCACAAAAGTCTCTCACAAAATAACCTGTCAAGCAGTTTAGGAACCACCCACTGTATGCAAACGCCTCTATAATTACCGACATCGCTTTTATCACCATTCTTGTGAAACGGTACCAAATACCAAAAATACCTGAAGACAAGGACAGGTTAAAAATATGTTGTAGTGGCCTACTCAAAGTACACTCACAATTCCTAATCAAGACTGATGGAATCCCGTCCGGGCCTTGCTAAAATGCAGTCTGTAAGTCCATAATACTCTCAAACACATCAGTAAGTGAAACACTCATGGAATTGAAGTCTAAACTATAGTTAAAAATATAATAAGCAGAGAACTTTGCAAACAAGTCAACAATATCCTGACCACAGTCGGCAACCTCATCATCCACCCAAATACATATTACCGGGATATGCATTTGACCTTCGCAAACTATTTACATGTTTCCAAAAAGATTTTGGGTCATACGTGACATCCTCACTAATTCAAGTTATATATGCACCATAGCACTCACTACGCAGTGCCTTAAGCCACAGAAATAAAGATAATCATCAACGTTGTTAGTTTTGGCTTGGATTTTGTACACGCAGTTTTCCATAACAATTGAGTTCTGAAGTTCACGACTAAATCATGCAGGGAAATTTGAAGACTTAAATCGCTTAACAGGAACAAACATCTCAATCGCACTATAGAAAAAATCGACACATCTGTAAACATCCTGCGGGTCAAGTGCACCCTCCCATGGTATACCAGATTGTTATCTGTCTGTCATTGCATTAAAGTTACAATTTCTAAAATCATAATAAAAGACATCATACTTTAAACCAACATCACAATCAATAGGCAACATAATTTCATAAGCCAGGTGATGCTCTGTAAAATACAAAAAACTCATAAATATCAGATCTAAAAATCGACCAAACTTATTAGGGATACAATTAGCTTAACCTAAATTATGGTAATTACATCATATAAGGGCCACACAAAAGAAAGAGGATAACTAAAGAAATATATTGCATCATCCATCCAACATAACCTTACTTTAATTCGGTTTTGTTTTGCATTTCTGACTCTTTCTGAATCTGATTTATTTTTGTCCTAATTTTAAAAGGCCGATACTGTATTAGCAGTTTAACTTAACACTTAACTTTCAGAACCAGTTAATTTGGTACTGTAATTCATGTAATTTAGATTCTTCAGTAAAATACATAACACTAACACGAAGGAATAATTATTTTATTTGTAGAAAATATTGTTATATTAATTTTTATTTATATCATTTATTCAAATACATTTTTCAATTATTTAGAATCTGGCTGGATACTCGTCTGTTATGTTAATTACTTGACAGGCTTGTCTTATTCTGACTCAAAGTTGATCTCGATATCTCTGCAAATCAGGAGATCTCGGAGATCAATTTTCAAAAGAACCATTTTTTCCTACCCAGGGCATTGGAAATTTTTGTTTTAACCGTTGACAAACAATCCTTGAATTGTGAATGGATAGACCATCCAAGGGGAGGTGTCATACATTGGGAGGAACATTTTCTATAGTATCCATAATTATCTAAACGACCAGGATTTAATGATTTATTAAATAAAAAAGGACCAAAATATTGAAAAAAAACTAAAAAGGTCATGGCAGGTGGGGTTAGAATAATATTCGGAATTTTCGATATTTCTAACGTAAGTGCGAAAGATGTTTGTGGATTTGTGACAATGCAAAACTTGCCAAAAAATGCGACACACTGTATATTGAGAATAATAATAATAATAATAATAATAAAGTCTATAATAAAGTTTTGCTAATTCGTCGTGTCCAATTCTAAATTCTAACCACTAAGTTTTACTCTGGCATCAAAAAACAGACCATAAATGCCAATACAAGCGACGAATAATTTACCTTAAGACAACTTGCCCGCTAGTTTTTCCATACTTTTTCCCGATTTCTATTAGTTTCGGATCGTCCAAACTCAATTCCGGATCACCTGGTTTTTTCCAAGGCCGAGCTGGAGCACTGAACGGACTATAAGCAACTACCTGGATGCCTCGTTCCTTGCAAAATGCTATTAGTTTCTTTTGGTTGATAAGCGGCGACACTTCGACCTACAAAATTCCTCGGAATCGTTCGTAGGGATACGTTGGGGCGGCTTACTTGATTGCAAACAGGCCTGATCTTAGCAGCCTTTAGAATGCGCAGTATCTGTTTGCTATTGAAATTAGAAAGCCCTATACTTTTAGCCAGCCCCAGTTCGACGCACTCTTCCATTCCGTGCCATGTCTCGACGAAGTCGTGGTCATAACAAACAGCGTCCTGGTATAAAACATTTTTAATCATAGCTATGAGGGTCGAAAAATTATGCAGTATTTATAACTGTTTGGTGTTTGGTTCAATGCAAGTGCAGTAAGGCACACAAGAGGGTTTTTTTAAGGCATACACGTATAATTTGTATAGTCCTTTCACAAATAAGTGGTTTTGGTCTATTGAATGTAATAAAACTATACATGAGGATCCTATTGCGTAGAAAGAAGTTTGGCTATCAATCAAATAGATATGCGATAAATGAACACACTTCAAAATTAAATGTCTGTTTTTTATTTTTTTGCTTATAAACATTAAGAGGTACAAAGTATGCTGCATGAATTATGTGTGAAATCGGAATGGATTTAAGAAAATTTAAAAAATACCAACTTGGTGTTTTGATCCTTGCATATTTTCTATTTACTCCAAAAAATGGGCTAGAAAAAAATACTTCATTTTTATATGAATATTGGTGTTTTTACAACTATCCCTAAACAGTGCTTAAAGCGCTAGCCTCGAGAAAACTATCTTGGAAAAAGTTGTATGCTGTGTACTAACTCAAATCAAGTTGAAAATATATAGTTCTTTGTATAGCCTAGTTGTGTTAGAGTGTCATACTCATATAATATTTTTCCGAATTTTGTTTTGTAAAACTTGCATTCTTTGAAAATATATATTGCGAGAGATATAAAAAGCATCGTAGAGATCACGTCATCGTCAATGTATTTTTTTCAATAAACAACGTCTACATTTAGATATTGCAACAATGATAGGTACAATTTTATCTATAGCGTTTATATGCTCGTTCCAGCTTAATTGGTCATCCAGAGTTAACCCTAAATATCTAACATTATTTAGTTACTCTAGAGGTGCATTATTAATATATTTTTGCATCTGTTTGTTTCCTTGCCTAAATACCACAAAATTTGTTTTATTTAATTTCTAATTTATTACTATACAATCAATCCACATACTTAGTTAAAGCAGTAAATTCTGTTCATAGATATAAGAAAGTCACTAACTTATACGAATTAAGGAAAGACCAGGGCAAGCTGTAAGAATGAAATATGGCCGAATAGGTCCGTACTTTGCTTGGAATTTAATTATTTGAGGTTTGGTTAGGAAAGATACTAAACAATATTTATTTATTTATGTATGTATTTATGTTTAAATCTAAAATAAAATTACAAATTATCTTTATCACCTACTAAAATTACTTTAAATTATTCACATAACATATCAGTATCGCTATCGCTATCATCGCCTGTTCTAATTATTATTTGTTCCATATTATTTGCAATATGGATATACGATTGTTCTGCTTTTTCTATATGTTTAACAGAATTTGCCCAGCTTTGTGGAGGGATGTTAAAAACTGGTTTCTATAAGTTTGAGGACATTGGAGTTAACACGGGGAAAAACATTGTTATGACGAATGGCAGATTTCAATTGGTGCCAAACATGTTCAATGGGATTAAATATACAGTGATAAGATGGACTGTATGCCCTAGATTTTTTGCATAATTATTCTTTTGTAGGTTCAAGCTTTGTAGAACCTCAATTAATTGCTTTTTGGTATAATCTTAGTAAAAATAAATGTCGTTATTATACATGTAGTTTTGGATTGTTGCTTTTGTGTCACATGAGGAAGGGGTTTTAGTCAACTGTCTACTGTGATAACTTGCATTGTCCATTACAATTACACTATTAGGAGGAATGTTTGGAACTAGTTTGTTTTTAAACCAACTTTCAAATAAATCAGCGGTGGTGTATTCATGGTCATCCAGAGAAGAATCTTTAATATTTTTCGCAGCCAGAGAAAGTCCATTTGGAATCCAACCATCTTTAGAGCCAGCATGGAAAATAGTTATACTTTTACCTCTTTTTGATGACGCGTTTGTTTTACACTTACCAGTTGAGTCAACCCAACTCTTTTCCGGGGTATCATAAGTGACGAACCAGGTTTCATCCAAGTAAATAATTGGCCTTTGTAATAATTGGCATTTTTAAATCTAAAACCGATGTGTTGAATACACTTCCATAAGGTAGTTCTGCCACATTTAACCCCGGTTTCGTCTTTTTCAAGCCTTCTAATTAAGATATCTAATGTAGGCACGCTTTGTTCCTCGTATAACTGGTAAATGTTACGCCGTATTATAATGGGTGTTTTTTTTTTCGATGTATAGAATTTTAAGTTGGCATTACTGTTCAAGATGGCAACCGATTTAATAGCTGTCAAGTGATTTATTCTCAGTTTGGTTAGACAATTCATCATGAATAGACTCACGCCTGAACAACGCTTGCAAATGGGCAAAAAAAGAGATTGCCGTTGTTCTCCATTTTCATAAGCGAATTTTGTTTAGCGATCAAGCGCACTTCTGGTTGAATGGCTACGTCAACAAACAAAACTGCAGTATTTGGAGCGAAGCCAATCCTCAAGTGTATGTCGTTGCATCCAGAAAAACTGACTGTTTGGTGCGCTTTCTGGCTGGTAGAATCATTGGTTCGTACTTCTTCAAAAACGATGATGGCCAGAACGTTACAGTCAATGGTGATCGGTATAGAGCTATGATTACACTTTCATTCCTGATTTGAATAACCATGATGTAAAGGAGATGTGGTTTCAACAAGACGGCGCAACATGTCACACAGCTCGTGCCACAATCGATCTATTGAAAGACACGTTTGGTGACCGTCTAATTTCACGTTTTGGACCTGTGAATTGGCCTCCAAGATCTTGTGATTTAACACCGCTAGACTACTTTCTGTGGGTCTATGTAAAGTCATTGGTCTATTCGGATAAGCCACAAACGCTTGACTATCTGGAAGACAACATTCGCCGTGTCATTGCCGATATACGGCCACAAATGCCTCTGTGGTTGAGCAATCCTTGAGGCGCGTCCCCCGGGTGGCGGATAGGGGAGCTCAGGCTCTCACGGGCCTGGGTGGCTGGGAATAAGGAGGCATAAGGAGGTAAAAATCCAATAGGGCTGACAAATAACCAGTCGTGGACCAGCTCACCCTGCCCCGCTGTCGTGTCGTGGCTAAGGGCCTACACAGGGTATAACGGTGCCAATTGGCTTGTAGTCGGTTGATAAACCAGGCGTCGGGTGCCGGCTCGACGAGTGGGCACGCGACGCGGGGGGTCTGAGCTTCACCACTTGGACCAAGAGGAGTAAACCTCAGAAAAAATCCCAAATCCTACGGTGGGGGTCGGGCCTAGGGGATGCATGGCTGGATAGAAAATCAGTCTCTACCGATCCCAACCCCGAGGCACCGGGCGCACCTCGGGGAAGGAAGACTTACCTCTGCATGTGGGGCTCTGCAGAGGTGGACCGTTTGTTTCCCTAGCTACTCGTGGGACCTTTATGGAACCAGAAATGAAATGTGTAAAGGAGAAGGAGGAGGGGTCCCAGGGGCGCTCCAGCAAGCAGGGGCGTCCTCAGGAAGGCCCTCTCCAAGGGCGATCTGAACAGGATCCCCAGTTCGCCAGCAAGGTGGAGGGCTCGGTACAAACCGGGAACACCACCTCGATGACACACCGCCCCAGACATAGGAGTGGGGCGGAAAAAAGGAGGGCGAAGAAGAAGAGATTCGCGGTGACGGTTTCGGAACCGCAGACGGGCTCTTTTCCGGCGCCCAGGAATCCTGTCACGCCGTCAACGGAGCGCTCCATAGGGGGCACATCGGAAACGGCAAGCGGGAAGCGGAAAAGAAAAAAGGGAGAGACCACCCAGGTTGGGGCACCTGCCGGTGGTCGGCGGCCGACACGCGGTCCAACGAAAGCTGGGCCCGGAAAAGGCTCTGAGAGGGGGCTCGGTCCTATGCACAAGCGGCGGCGGGGGGGCCTGAACTGGTGGTGGGCCTCAGAGGACAGGAAACTGACCTGTCTTCCGAGGACCTACTGCGGTTCATAGGGTCTCTTAACCTCCGCATAAGCATGTATATCATGCAGGGGGGGGGGGGGCAATACACCACTCCCCCGATACGGTTAGGCTGTGGAGGAGCCACATCCTGATCGAGATGATGGATGAAGAAACCAGGGAGTGGGTTCGCAGGGAGCTGATCAACGTCAGGCCCTGAGGGCTCGCAAACCTGGTGTCGGTCGATCCGGAAGGATTGAGACTGAGAAGCGCGGCGATCTGGATTCCGGGCCTGGGGGCGGGTGTCTCGAACGAGGCACTAGTCCGCTGCCTGGCAGCTCAGAATGGCCGAGATTGCCGTGCCTGGAGGGTCTGGCAGAGGACGTCGGATGCAAGGGGCACAAGGTTGGTGGTGGGCGTGGACGAGAAATCGCCAAGCGCCATCACGGCTAAAGGCTCACTTCTCTTCTGCCTGGCGACTCAGGTTAAAGTGAACCTGGCGGCGCCGAGGCCGCAGGGGGATGAGGTGGCCGTGGGGGGCTCACACGAAGAGGGCTCGTCCATGGAGATTGGGGGGCCTGCCGGAGAGGCGGCGCCCACGGCTTCTGTGGAGGAGACCTCCGGAGGGACCCGAGGAGGTATCTCGGATGGAAGTTGACCGGGGAATCCCATCAGGGTCCACCAGTCAGGAAGCGGAAGTGGAGGGAGGTGCTCGTAATAACATTTTCACGGGGATATTACAGATTAACCTGCAACACAGCAGGGCTGCAACGGCCCACTTATGCAGGAAAATTTCGGAGGGCGGTACATCCATTGTACTGATCCAAGAGCTCTGGATTGTAAAATCAAGAGTTAGGGGCTTATCTCTGGGAGGATCGATGCTGCATAGTGTCGACTCCTTAGAGGCGGTTCCAGGGCCTGTATACTAACCATGGGGCTGGAGGCCTTTTTCCTAAGGGACAAGGCGTCCAGGGACCTGGTTCCAATTCTGGTCAGATCCCCCACTCGGGACGGCGTGAGGGAGGTAGTAGTCGCCTCTGCGTACTTTCCAGGCGACCGCAGCTGTCCTCCGCAGGAGATCAGTGACTTGGTCTCCTACTGTGAAGAGGCGTGGACGAGAATCTTCTCTTTTGCTTGGCTGCGACAGCAATGCTCACCACGTTTTGTGGGGCAGCGCGGCAACGAATAGAAGGGGGGGAGACCTCGTGGAGTTCATGGCCTCGGCAGGGCTGCAGGTGGCCAACAGAGGGATAGAACCCACGTTTTTCACGACGGGTCGGAGCTCGGTCATAGACTTAACACTTTGTACCAGGGCTCTGCTCCCGGAAATAACTTGGTGGTGTGTCTATGGGAGGACTCTATGTCGGACCATAGATACATCACCTTTGGGTTGGAGATGGGTGTTCGGGAACCCGTTAGATTTAGGAACCCCCTGCCAACAAACTGGGAACTCTATAGAGAGGAGCTCGCTTGGCGCCTAGGGGGCTTACCAAAGAAACACCGGACAATGGAGGAGATTGACGAGGCCGCCGACCGAGTCAGCTCCGCTATAATACGGGCGTTCGAGAATAGCTGCCCTGAGACAGAGGAGCATAGGGCGGGGAGGACTCCTTGGTGGAGCTCGTCCCTGGAGCGTCTCAGGAGGAAAGTGCGGAGGCTGTTCAATACAGCGAGGAGCAGCAGCCAAGGTGCAGACTGGGATCTCTATAGGGAGGTCCACAGACAGTACAAAAAAGAACTACGGGCATCACAGAGGAGGGCCTGGAGGGGCTACTGCGACGGAGTAATGAATATCCCGGCCGCGGCTAGGCTCCTTAGGGTACTCAGAAGTGACCCTGCGGGAAGACTGGGAGTGGTCCGCAGGACCGGCACAGCGGGACCAGCGGTCACACTACAACAGTTGCTGAACACGCACTTCCCAGGGTCGGCTGATCCGGACACAGGGGGGAATATTGAAGCCGGGGGTCGTCTTGGATGCGACTACGCCACGGCAAGGAGGGTGGTTACCTATAGTAGGCTGAGGTGGGCTATTGACAGCTTTGGTCCTTTCAAGTCGGCGGGCGGGGATGGAGTATTTCCGACTCTGCTGCAAAGGGACGGAGGTCTCCTGACCAGCCCGCTGATGGACCTGTTCAGGGCCTCAATTGCGAGGGGGTACGTGCCCGAGCTGAGGAGACACAGCAGGGTAGTATTCATTCCCAAGTAGGGAAGAGTGACTATACGGACCCGAAGTCGTACCGGCCCGTTTGCCTCACCAGCTTCATTATGAAGACTCAGGAGAGACTGGTGGACCGGTACCGGCCCTGTACTCGATCTGCAGGGCGGTGGAGAGTACTGGAGTGGGGACGGCCATTGTAAGGTGGATCCGCTCCATGCTAACCGACCGGAGGGTCGAGGCAAGACTGGGTGGGGAGCAGGTCTCCATCGGTTCATCACGGGGTTGTCCACAGGGCGGGGTCTTGTCCCCGTTCCTGTGGTGCCTAGTGGTGAACGAGATATTGCATATTCTGAGGGAAGAACAAGGGGTCTATGTTCAGGCATATGCAGACGACCTTGTGATAATGACACAGGGAACGGACGTGAGGAGGATGCAGGGGCTCCTGAACGGGGCATTGGCAAGATTCTCACAATGGTGCCTGGACAGCAAGTTAGCTGTCAATCCTCCAAGCAAGGTGGAGATGGTCATTTTCACTAGAAAAAGGAAAATGGAGTGCAACCTCAACATTTCGATAGATGGCGTGCCTCTTTCTGCAAGCGGAAGTGTCAAGTACTTGGGCGTATGGTTGGACTCTGAGTTGACCTTCTAGGAACATATAAGATCAAGGACCAGGTCGGCCTTTGGAGCTCTGTGGGCGTGCCGGAGAGCGGTAGGGAGAACTTGGGGCCTGGGGCCGAAGATCATGCAGTGGATCTACGGTACCATGGTGGTGCCTATGCTCACGCATGGGGCAGTGGCATTGTGGCCGGGGACCAAAAGAGCGGGAGCAAGGCTAGTTCTTGACAAGCTGCAGAGATTGGCTTGCCTCTGCATAACGGGCGCCATGAGAACGGCGCCCACGAGGGCCCTAGAGGCTCTGGTGGATCGGGCGGATCGGGTGCAGATGGAGGCGACCAGGACAGCTGTGAGGCTGGCGAGCTGCAGGCTCTGGAGGGAGGGAACCTTCAATCGGGGTCCGTACGACATTTTAGAGGGCTGTCGCGGGGATCGCGGGGTCATGGGCATGCCGAGTGACGTCGTGATCCCCGAGATGACCTTCTTTGACAAATTGACCTTTCTCTTTCCATCAAGGGAAGATTGGAGAAAGGGCAGAGTCGGCTCCTGGGATGGACTTGTCAGGTACACGGACGGGTCCAGAATGGGAGATCTGGCCGGAGCTGAAGCGTAATGCGAGACAACGGTCCTTCTGGGTCAGTACTGCACTGTGTTTCATGTCAATCGAATAATCCATCGTTGTTTTATTGCAACTTAAAGTTCTATATATCGAAAAAAAATACCCCTTATAATGATCACTTTCATTTACACTTGAGAAAATGTCAGCATCGTTTCTTTTTTTCCTCGCTGTAATGGGATTATTCACAATTTTCCATACAGTTGATGTTGGAATTTTTCATCAATGTGGCCGTTTCTTCTAAAGATGCTTGCTTGCTGGCATCACGTTCAGAATAGTGTTTTCTACATTTCTACATATTTTGCATAATTCGCACACGATTCAACACACGCTGTATTACACACGAAATAAGAATGATTACTAATAAACTTAAACTAGGTAGTATACCAAACCAAAGAATATTAAACATAGGTAGGTATAAAATTATTTGTATTACGGACCACAATTTTACCTGAATTTAAATTCCGCAACTTTAGGTAATAATCTTGCTGCATCGTATGTTAATGACCACCCATGGATAATCCCATTCAAAAGCAATTGGTCACTTTCATATATATATGAACAGACCATATCATCTGCGAAGATAAAAAAGCGCGCATTCCGATTGGCAGGTTTCGAGTTTAAAACATATGGAGAGTACAACAGAGGACTCAAAACGGAACCCTGAAGCACTCCCGAGGAATTTAACCGTATATAACTTTGATTATTATGAAATGCGACAAATTGATTTCTACCTTCAATAAAAGTTTAAATCAAATTAGGCATTGCTCACAACGGCACTTAAAGTGCTATTCCTTTTAAGGAAGCCATACTGGAATTTGTTCATTTCAACTCTGTTTATTCAAATCCCTTTCGTTTCAGTAACTACATCACAAAAAGTTTACCTTGAAAGGTTCAGACGCGTTAAATTTTCCAGTATTGGTCATGGCGACGGGCCAATGGATCAAATACAAGTCCAAATAATCCAAACCGAGATTTTGCAGAGACACCTTGCAACTTGGCACCACTTGGTCCCTCTCGTGGAAGGTGCACCAAAGCTTGGTGACTACAAAGAGATCCTCGCGCTTCACAAGCCCTTCTTTAATGGCTTCTCTGATGCCATCGCCCACTTCTTTTTCGTTGCCATAGAACCAGGCGCAGTCGAAATGGCGGTAACCCACGCTTATTGCATGTTTGACGGCTCTGGCACATTCTCCTGAATGCGACTAAAACAGATTAAAAGGGAATTAACTGCTAAATTGTACATAAACAACGTTTCAGATTTTTTGATAGAACATTATGCTGCATATCTAGTCTTCAATACCTCAACCTATTTACTTCCAACATTTCCATTATATGAGCTTCATAAAGGGGTATACATTATTTCTCCTCAGGTATAAATATCAAATTGACACAGTTCAGAGCTGAAGGATTTCATGCATTACTTAACACATTAAATAACTTAATACTATTCTAAAGTTCTTGTATGCTTTACTTGGTTGTTGAATTTCATGTTTCACTGGAAGTATACACCAAAGTCCTTAACTTCATGGACGCTGTCGATAATTGCAATAAGTGATAAGTAAATTTTGCTTTAAAGTGTATAGTCATAGTATACGTATGCATGTCGTTATTTGCAAACCACCCTACAACCCTAACCAAATGAGGTAAGCCTGTAGACCTACATGGGGCTTCGGGAAGACCCTTAATAAAGAAAGTAAAAAATAAAGCTCCCAAATTGACACCTTGAGGCGCTCTACACTCTCTACCAATTTGAACTTCCAGAGGCCTCAGCCTCATAAACTGATATTCAACCTTGAAAAAACCGGATCATATAACTTTTGTAAAATATTTTGAATTTTTTAAGTTCAGCACTCCATATATATTTGTTATTTGTTTATTATGCACAATCGATAACGTATCTTTACCTGGTTCCAGCTGGATGAAGTTCAGATGGACGCAATAGCTTAAACTCAATCTCAATCCAGAAAAAAGTTTGGTTGTCAGAGGGACAGCTCTTACCCGTACATGTTTTCACCAGGTCAAGAAAAGAACCTAAGATAATCTGACTTTTGACTGTACAATAATTATGGAAGTCACCTGTCAACCGCCATGAACTAAATTTGCTGAAAGTGAACTATAGCAAAAACCAAATACAATATAATACAATTTTAATTTTTCCCAACAAAAATAGGTTAACACACAAGAGTAGACATAGACAACTGCACACTTGACAAGAGTGCTTGTGGAACTATCTTGGGGCAATTTACTATAAACTTACTATATAATATATATATATATATATATATATATATATATATATATATATATATATATATATATACATTTATATTTGAATGTGAAAATCACTATCCGGTTGCTGCTGTTATGTCCTTAGGATCAAGGATTTATCAAGATAATGAAGAACAAACGGAAATAAAATATATTAACACGGCCCTAACAAATGACTTGTGAGAAAAAAATAATAACCCAAAGTTAACTAAACATAAATTTAAAGGAAAAATTAAAATATTATTAAAATCAGTTCAACAACAAAAATCAACTATATAAAATTCTGATAAAAAATGAAAATATCCAGTCGATAAAAGAGAAGGAACTACATAAGCTTGATAGTAATAGACACACAATATGTTATCACAGGTCAATATCAATGCTATCGGTCTTCCAAAGGTTCCGCATTTGAACAAATATAATATACTTGCAGACTTACAGTACGGATTTAAAATGGTCCGGTTCGGGCCACGCAAGTTACTAAAAATTTTTTAAGATCAAATATCTACGAAGCGATCGATACCAGCCTCCTATGTATGTGCCTTTTTGTGTAAAATTTTTAATCTACTAAAAAATTATTTATCAGCCAGAGAACACTGCATCAATATTAAACACGTAAATAGTGACACGAGAGTGGTATAGTATGGCGTGCCTCAAGGCAGCGTTCTTGGTACAATTTCACTGCTATGTAAAGCAGATTCGTTAACTTAAACTTTTGATTGAAGAGGATATCGTAATTCTCAAAAACTGGTACCAAACCAATAAACTGGCTCTAGAAACGCATCTATAAAAACCATGTTAACAATATTAAGACTCTGCTAAAATGGTGGACTCTGCTAATGTGCTGTTGGATATACCGCAGCTGTCTTGTCTGTCCGTATTAAAGAATCTAAAGAAGATAAAATTATATTAAATTATAATCAGTCAATGTACAATACCAGAAATAGTTCTATGCATGTCACTGCTACTAAAAAAACACACAGACAACTTTCTTATTAACTCTTAAATATTATGCACTAAGATTTTACAATATGCTACCAGCATATATACAAAAAATCCAAAATTTTCAACCATTTAGTTACAAAACAAAACATTGGATAAATGATCGACGGCTTTTAAATTATCTTATTGACTTGAAGCACTTAAAATAGATAGGTGCAAATTTATGTCTGTACCGTAGCACAACCATGGCGTCTCTTAACTAGTATTGATTTTTTGAGAATGAGGATTATTATGATTATTATTATTGTAACAATTTTGTACACAAGTATACAATATGATATGGGATTTGGTAAATAAATACTTACCATTACCTCATTTTTTTAAACTGATGTTAAACTTCTGGGAGTACCTTGACTCTCTAAAAAATCAAACGTATGAAAAATATCATAAAGTGGGTTCAGTTTCGTATTCCGAACTTGATGATTTGTGCATGTTCTTGTTTCCCTTGTTGATATACATATGTTCCTAAACTATTTTTTTCCACTATCACATCACTCTCTGCATACGTTTTTTAATTTCAAACTTTTCTTTTTATATGGAGCTTCCTTCTTTTGCTTTATTATAGCATTCTTTCGATTTAATACGCGGTATCTCGATAAATTTCAATAAAATCCTATAAAATATCGCGATGCTCATTCTTTGTGCTCCCCATTACTTAATATTTAGGGTTTTTAAGTTGCGAATCTTTTCTGAATTGCTGATGCAGATTGCTCTAATTTTAGAGGTCCGTGCTACTATGCACACATTCATGTAAACTTGCAATAACCCAGCTTGCAACATGTATAACTTCATGTATAAGTGCGCCCAAGGTTTGTACAAACACACTTGTCATATATAACCTCACATGTGTAAAGCAACTGCTTATATCGTCAAAAGATTTGTTTTGCATGAAATATTTGATATATTTTTTAAACTTAAAATTTGAAATTTTTAAAATTTATCATTTTGGTTAGCTTTGGTTTTATAATTTTGGCGTAGTAGCATTGCTCAATTCAATTTATCCTCATTACTTTTAGTCTGTAAAATCCATACATATGACGCTGCACAGAAGGGAAATTGATATATAAACTAGAAACTCAAACTGAAAATTTTTCATAGGACATAGACATATATAACATAGACATAGGATAACTTACCGAATATGAATGAAAACAAAAATGAAAATTATACCGAAAAATAATGAAGTATTGAGTCTGTAGAATTCTGGCTGGTTAAATTTAACTCAAAGATATAATATGGCTGTCAGCTATATTTTATATAAACACATACAAAACACAACTCTGGCGGCTGATACATAGGAAGTTACAGAAAAAAAAAGATGAAATAGTCTAACTGGAATATTTTCTTTTATCAACAATAACACACTAAAGAGCTCTGAGCGCTCTCAGTTTTTGTGTATTTCTCATAATTTATATTCACAGTGAACTATGGAGGTGGTTTTTATTTTGATTAATGTGAAGAGATTTTTTAAATATTCATACGAAGAAAAGTTAGAATTATAAGCAAAATGTAGGCCATTACCTGACGTTACTATTGAAAAAACTGGTGTAAGTAGAGGAAAAAGTTATACACGGAAATTTAGTAAAATAAATAAATGAAAATAAATCGATTTGTGGATGTGACAAAAAAATGCTCAAAATTGCTTACGTTTTGGTGGCAATAAAGCTTTGATGGAAATACTGGTCACCGTTTTAGAGCATTTAAGTTTTTTAAAATAAAAAGACTTTAAGAGTATTAGAGCTCAATTAAATTCTGCTTACGGGGTAAATATACAGAAACATAATGAAAATGTGTATTACATTTTGCGGAGCGTTTAAATTGGATCTTGGGGACATGATGCGAATGGGAATCCCGGGATATTTCGTAAACTTTTTCGCTTTTTTTTAGCGCCGAAAAAATTCTTAGATATTTAAGGCCACTTAAAAGAAATTCAGAATAATGTGTGTTATACTACATGCTTAAGATTTGTCGAGAACAAATAATTGGGGAAATTTATTATTCTTCGTTTTTGGTTAAGGTGAGTTTGTTTTTGCATAAACAACACTTTAACGAGCCGCCATTTGACCCCGTACATAAAAAATCTAGGCAACAGGAGGATATTTAAGTGCGAAATCACAAGGTTTTATTACTGCGGGTAAACCTATACTGCATGTGCTGTCTGTATTTTTTTTGTTTGTGTATATTTTTATTAGTGTGCAAATAATTTTCAATTTTTTCTAAATTTTCATCTCTTCTGTTTTGGGCGGTTTGTCTACGCACGACTTTTTTATGATTTTTTTTTCTTTGTGTCTTGATCGCCACCATTATGTAATAATATTTAACCTATTTTTTTTTATTTTATAGACGTCATGTTTTGTAAATTTTTATACAGTCAACCGCTAAAAATATAGAACAAATTCATTTAAAAATCAGGTATTGGATTTCAAGAAAAATACTTACATCATAACTTTTTCAGGAAATAGAAAATATACAGGGTGGCTCAAAACACCACACTAAATGACGTGTGATATGACCGTCAAAACTAACGACTTCAAAATACTATCAGCGCTTAAAATTTGACTAAATCATCCGATCGCCCCAAAACTCGCGACTAAAGCGCCGGGAACCCTTGAAGTTACGAACTACTGTTTCAAAAAACTATAGTCAAATTTCATTTCTTTTGAGACGCATATGATAAAAAACATTCTAGACACATAGTTGAGTTACATAATACTAAATTCATTTAAAAATCAGGTAATGGATATACAGGGGAGATCAAAAAGTAGATGTCAATAACAAGTTCTTTTTTTTAATAGAACGAGAATTTTTTAAATCCATTTTCTGAGTTCGTGACAAATTTGACGCATAATTCATGTAGCATATTCCACACATATCTCTTACTTTTTAAGAGCAAAAGAATGAAAAATAAAAAATTAATTTTGAAAAAATTGTTACAATTATATTTCTGTTATTAAAGGTGAAAGGTGAATATGAACATACTATTTTACAGCGTACTTGACACAACCATTGAAAATACGTCATTAAAAGCAGTCAGATCGAACGTCGTCGTATTGAAACTTGTCACCAATAATTGTCAAACCAATTTTTTTCATCCGCGTGCAGAAAAAAAATTTTAGTGGACCAAAAACTCACGATGACCACCGAATTGGAACATAATGAAAATGTGTATTACATTTTGCGGAGCGTTTAAATTGGATCTTGGGGACATGATGCGAATGGGAATCCCGGGATATTTCGTAAACTTTTTCGCTTTTTTTTAGCGCCGAAAAAATTCTTAGATATTTAAGGCCACTTAAAAGAAATTCAGAATAATGTGTGTTATACTACATGCTTAAGATTTGTCGAGAACAAATAATTGGGGAAATTTATTATTCTTCGTTTTTGGTTAAGGTGAGTTTGTTTTTGCATAAACAACACTTTAACGAGCCGCCATTTGACCCCGTACATAAAAAATCTAGGCAACAGGAGGATATTTAAGTGCGAAATCACAAGGTTTTATTACTGCGGGTAAACCTATACTGCATGTGCTGTCTGTATTTTTTTTGTTTGTGTATATTTTTATTAGTGTGCAAATAATTTTCAATTTTTTCTAAATTTTCATCTCTTCTGTTTTGGGCGGTTTGTCTACGCACGACTTTTTTATGATTTTTTTTTCTTTGTGTCTTGATCGCCACCATTATGTAATAATATTTAACCTATTTTTTTTTATTTTATAGACGTCATGTTTTGTAAATTTTTATACAGTCAACCGCTAAAAATATAGAACAAATTCATTTAAAAATCAGGTATTGGATTTCAAGAAAAATACTTACATCATAACTTTTTCAGGAAATAGAAAATATACAGGGTGGCTCAAAACACCACACTAAATGACGTGTGATATGACCGTCAAAACTAACGACTTCAAAATACTATCAGCGCTTAAAATTTGACTAAATCATCCGATCGCCCCAAAACTCGCGACTAAAGCGCCGGGAACCCTTGAAGTTACGAACTACTGTTTCAAAAAACTATAGTCAAATTTCATTTCTTTTGAGACGCATATGATAAAAAACATTCTAGACACATAGTTGAGTTACATAATACTAAATTCATTTAAAAATCAGGTAATGGATATACAGGGGAGATCAAAAAGTAGATGTCAATAACAAGTTCTTTTTTTTAATAGAACTTTTAAATCCATTTTCTGAGTTCGTGACAAATTTGACGCATAATTCATGTAGCATATTCCACACATATCTCTTACTTTTTAAGAGCAAAAGAATGAAAAATAAAAAATTAATTTTGAAAAAATTGTTACAATTATATTTCTGTTATTAAAGGTGAAAGGTGAATATGAACATACTATTTTACAGCGTACTTGACACAACCATTGAAAATACGTCATTAAAAGCAGTCAGATCGAACGTCGTCGTATTGAAACTTGTCACCAATAATTGTCAAACCAATTTTTTTCATCCGCGTGCAGAAAAAAAATTTTAGTGGACCAAAAACTCACGATGACCACCGAATTAAGTAACGACCATGACAAACTCAAATCTTTGGAAAATGTCAATCGTCAACTGCTGGAAAATCAATCGTTCCTCTGCGACGAGAACAGAAAACTCCAACAGAACGCCAGCAAACTTTCCAAAAATCTGGAGGAACTTCGAAAATCGACCGTAGATCCAGACGTGCTGAAGAGCCTAACTTTGGAAAAGAACAACTTGGCGACGTTAAACGAGCGGCTTAAGCAAAAACTCGAAACGCTGACCGCCAAATCTTCCGAGCTGAACGAACGAGAGACGGAGAAACAAAGAATAGAGAAGCGAGAGTTGATAAAGTCGGTTGAAGAACTGGAAATAATCTTGAACAGGATAAACAGCAGGCCGGAGACATTTGAAATCGCGCTACCCAAAGACAGTACGGTTAAAGAAATGTGCAAAACTTTGACGAAAAGATTGGACGAAGAACAGAAAAGGTCGGACGAGGCGATCGAAACTATAAGAAGGCTCAGAAACGATGACGAGAAACTGATCTTAAAAGATAAAATTGCCGACTTGAAGCAGCTGATAACTGATTTAGAGGTAGAGAATTCGAAGTTGAAATTTCAAGGGGAACAACTCGAGGACGACGTAGAACGGTTGGTTACAGAAAAATAAAAATAAACGTATTTACGGTATGGTTTTCAGATACAAAAGGGATCTTTCGGAAGCAGTCGAGGACGCTAAAACTTCGAAAAAGGAAAAATACCAACTGGAATACGAAATTGATAAGTTGAAGCAAATCATTTCGAACCTGGAGAACGAAAAGATCAAATTGAAGAAAGACATGATCGAGGAGTTGACCGAAGCTAATCGGGCTAAGAGGGTTCTCACTGATACCGAAATAGCTCTCCAGCATATATCCGAAGCCTACGAAAACAAGCGAAAGGAAGTAGCGAGATACCAGAAGCAGCTAGACGAAGCTAATATGATTATAAGGGGATTTAGAGACCAGTTTGATGCGAACGAACCCCAGTATTAACAAACAAATCAATGAAGCGGCGACCTTTGACCCAGTTTTTTAACTAATCTAAACGGATTTGCAGATTAGCCATTATGCGATGCAAAAATTCGCCTACATCGCCGACACTAATATAAGGCAAACGAAAAATATAGCTGGGAGAGGTAAAGCTCTGTTTTAGAAAAAGAAATAAAAAGGCAAATTCGACTTACAAGGTACGTTCCCAAACCGAGAGCTGGAATTTTCCGTCCGTTATTTAAAGCGATCGTAGGGGCCGCCATTATCGTTTGCAAATGCGATTAATTGACGCACAGTCGTCTCAGCCGCTACTGAAAGATTAAACGAACGGTAAACATTATTGGAGTGTTGTATTTTTTGATATACCGCGTGGCGCAAATATATTCGCTTACAAGATAGTTAAATTTTTGGTTGGTTTGGCGGACAGCTATGGCGTGTGACACTGTTCAACGTTCGCTATTATAAAAATCAAATTAATAACAATATAAGTTTGCAAGCGCCAGTTAATTTTTAAATCAGCTAATTGAAAGGTGATTCTATATTTTCATATAATTTTAAATGAATATATATGCATCTTAATGTTTTCATTTCAGTTGTTCTTAGCGCTTGTTTTGTTTTCTTTGTATCAGCCCTAGTTTCTATGACATACGTAAGTATTAGTCTTATACATGTTTTATAGATTCTTGTTTTCGTTACCATTCCTAGATGTTTATTTCTCCACACTATATCCCTTAATGCACCTGCTGTGGCTATTGCTTTCCTTATTTGGTATATCGTCTCTTGGTAAATATCTCGGTGGCTTGTTATATCTACTCCTAAGTATCTTGATGACATTATTTGCTTTTTGATTGTCCCTTCTATCTCCAGGTTACATCTTATTGGTTCCTTAGATAATGTTAGACATTCAGTTTTCTCTGTTGATATTGCATTCTTTTGCGGTTTTATTAAATATGTGTAACATTCTTTGTAGGTTGTCTTCGCTATTAGATGTCAGTACTACATCGTCCGCGTAACATAAATTCGCGTTATTTGTGTTTCCTATTTTGTATCCTGTTAGTCTTTTTACTTTTTATTTGTCTTATTCCTGCGTTTCCCTTTATTTTACCTTTTTTACTTTTACCTTTCCCTCAGCTTTTATTTTAGTGGAGCAGTTGTAATTGAGTTCTTCTACGACTCTTATTATTTTAGGAGATACATTTTTTCTTTAAGATACTATGTCATTGAGTCGTATTTTATCAAACGCTTTTGTTAGGTCCACGAAACACATGAAGATGGGGTTGTTGTATTCTATTGACTTTTGATGGCTTGTTCTTGTTTCCTTTTTTAAATATTAATGTAGCCAAACTTTTATTCCACTCTAGAGGTATCTTTTCTTCTTTAATTATTTTATTGAAAATTTTTGCTATTTGCTTTATTAGTTTTCGTCCTCCATATTTAATTTTTTCGTTTGTGATCGTATTTTCTCCTGATGCTTTTCGTTTTTTCAGTTCTCGTATTGCGTTTTTCATGTGGTTTTCTGTTATTATCCAATTTGAGCCCATTGTTTCTGTTTTGTCTTGAGCATTATTTTCTTTTAAGTTGTATAGATTTTTAAAGAATTTTGTGCATTCTTCTCTTTTTATTGAATTAATCTTTATGTATTCATTTATAGGTCTTTTAGTTGATCGTAATAGTTGCCATACTCTTTAATTTGTAACAATAAAATGTTCAACACGTAATATATTTTTATAGAAAGAATTGATCAGTCCACATGTAAAAAAAACTTTCAAGAGAAAATGACCAAGTTCTCCTGATATCATTGCTCCGAAACTCCGAATTTTGTATATGGCCAAATCAAGATAGCCATGGATCGTTCAAACGTCAACAGTTTTATTGTAGTTTGGCATTTAGAATTTTAAATAATATTATTGATTGCGTAAGCTAGAGTGTGTAGTGTGTACTAAATCAAAAACTTTAAAGGTGTTATAAATTTGCAAAATATTTTATCTCAGCTTTTGGTAAGTAATAATATTGTGGAACTGAGGTGGCTTTTACTTGATGAAAATCCATTTAACAAAATTAATAAGAACTAAAAGTTTAAAAAATAAAAAACAAATCCAGACAATAGTAAACTCAATTTATCCGAAACCTAATACAGAACACCAACAATTTGAAACAATTACATACATAGGAGAACCCAGTGAAAAAGTTTCAAAACATTTGTCAAAATGTGGTTTAAAAATAGCTTTCAGAACTAACAACACAATAGGAAAATTTGAAAAAAGTATAAAACGAAATATCCAAAACCTCAAAAATCAGTCTACAGGTTGAAATGCGGATCTTGTCCTAAAATTTATATTGGACAATCAAGTAGATCCTTCAAGAAATGCATTAACGAACATAAAAGAGCGTTTAAAAACAATAGTCTAGATTCTAAATATGCTACACACGTAAAAAGAGAAAAACACATTTTTCACGACAATTTTGATATTTTACATACAGCCACAAAAAGCAGAAAATGAAATTTATTGGAAGCCATGGAGATTAACAAAATGAGACATTCAAACGTATTGCTTAACGATGAGTTAGATTTAAATACCTCTCCTTTATTGAACTTAAATACCTAGGTACATATGTATTAAAGTTTATCTTTAAAATGAGCACGGGCGGTTCAAATAATTCCTATAACAACGCAAACGAAATTCTTCAAGACCTTATGGACACATCGGATAGTACAGATTTGGATTTCGAATACACGTCTGTTAATAGTGAAACGGAAAAATCGATCCTATTCTAAATATCAGAAAGGTAATTCCAAAACATAGATGGAGTACTAAAGATCCTCAAGGAATAAAACGAGTCAAAAATAAATTGCTTAAAAAATCCTGTCTACCTTACATTAACACGAAAGGTAAGCAAATGCCAGCCAAACTACCAGAAGGTGTAAATTGCACTTCTTGCAGTTATAAGCGCACGCTGCAATTTTCAGAAGGTCAAAGACAAGTTTTCTGTTTAGAGTTCAACAGATTATCAAACGAGAGGCAAAAAGATTTCATCATTAATACCGTAACATCATCTGCAAGTCAAAAAAAAACGAGTAAGAACATCTACCAGACCGGGAAAAACCGTTGATAAGTCATACCATTTTCTAAAAAATAGACAAAAAAAAGGATAGCAAAAATTTTTATTTAAAAACCCTTTCCATAAGACATGGGTCTGTGGACTCAGCACTAGCAAATAAAGGTGAAAGTGGAATTACTCATATCAAGAAAGATCGAAGAGGTAAGAATTCCCCCGGAAATAATACACAACCACACATTTTAAATGAGTTCAAAAGGCACATTGAGTGATTTTCAGTTACAGAATTGCACTATTGCCGACGTCAGACTAAGAGCAAACATCAATTCGCAAAATGAATGGCTTATATATAGCAGCAAAATTTGCGCATATAACTTATCCTTGTACTAGCTAGCTCCATCAAAGAGAGGACACTGTTATCTTTTGTTTCGAATAGAAGGTCAACGGGAAAGTAACGAAATAAGGACAGATACAGTAAAAGAAGTATCAGTTTTCAGCGACACATGCAGCGGACTGAATCGTAACCAATACATAACTGCCCTTTTTTCATTTAACGTTCAAGTTTTACCTATAGGAATTATGACCCATAACTTAAAAAAGAAGCACATGGAAGCAGATTCGATGCAAAGTGCAATAGAACGAGCCAAAACGTAATATCCCTGTCTTTTGCTTAAATGACTGGAAAACAATTATGACAGTAGCACGATCCAAGAGAGGAAAAAATAAAATTTCAAGTGCTTATAATGTTTACCAGCTGACGTGCAATGATTTTATCAATCTTAAGGAACTCTGCAAATCAACATTAAAAAATACGTTTCGAGACGAAATTGGTTAAAGAGTAGAATGGCTGAAGATCAAACAACTCCGATATGGAAAAGAAACAAAAAATTTAATATTGTTCAGGTATTGGGTTGTTCGGAAAGTCATTTCGTTTTTTTTGGGGAACATGAAAGACAGTTTTCGTATAATGAATAAATATTTTATTAAATTATATATTGGCCATTTTGGTCCAACACCTTTTGCCATCTTTCTGGCAGTAACATAATTCCCCTCTCATAAAAGTTTTGGTCCTTGCTGGCAAAAAACTGGTTCAGGTGGTTTTTGACATCTTCATTTGAGGTAAAGGTTTTGCCATCCAAAAAATTTTGCAGGGACCGGAACAAATAGTAGTCGGAAGGCGCCAGATCTGGAGAATATGGTGGATGTTGCAGTACGTCCCATTCAAGCTGTAAAAGTTTTTGGCGAGTGACCAAACTTGTGTGAGGTCTCGCATTATCCTGGTGGAACACTACACCCTTCCTGTTGATTAATTCGGGCCTCTTCTCTTTAAGTGAATCATTCAATTTGTCCAGTTGATGACAATAGACTTCTGAATTAATCGTTGTATTGTCCGGCAAAAGCTCAAAAAAAAACGATTCCTTTGACATCCCACCAAACGGAGAGCATCACCTTTTTTTGGTGAATGTTGGCTTTTGACACGCTTTGAGCCGGTTCATCTTTTCTGCTCCATGACCTCTTGCGTTTAACATTGTTGTATACAACCCATTTTTGGTCCCCAGTAATAATCCGCTTCAAAAATGGATCATTTTCTTGACGTTTGAGGAGCGAATCACACACGTCAACGCGACGACACAAATTTCGCTCCGTAAGGACATGGGGCACCCACACATCGAGCTTCGAGGTTAAGCCCATGCCTTTCAAATGGCCATAAACAGTCGAATTCGACAAATTTAATCTCTCAGCGATCTCTCGTGTGGTTATTCGCCGATTTGCATCAACTAATGCCTTTATCGCATCTTTGTCAGCTTCGACCGGCCTTCCAGACCGTGGTGCATCTTCGACATCAAAATTGCCGGATCGAAATTTTGCAAACCAGTTCTGGCACTGGCGTACTGTTAGCACACCTTCTCCATATACATCCGTCAATTTTTTTCTCGCTTGGACAGCATTTTTACCTTTTCTGAAGTAAAAAAGTAAAATATGACGAAAATGCTGCTTATTGCTCTCCATATTTAAAAGGGCACCAACCAAAAACTACTGCGTAGAATTAATAGAACTTTTTCACACACAAGCCTTGCAATATCAGCTCTCAAGACATATAACGGTTATGCGGCTTAAGTTGGTTTCGAAAAAACGTAATTAAGTCCTCTGACGGGAAAAACGAAATGACTTTCCGAACAACCTTATACAATTACGATGAAGAATACAAAGTTCTAAATGCAAGGGTAGACCCAGTAGTACGCCGCACCGAAAGAATGAGATTTAAAAAAGTGCTACTCAGAACCATTGATAATATCAAAAAACGAAAAGGATGACTTAGTTAAACTTTGCTGAACTGGAGTTATTCCCAATGGCTGGTACATGAACTTACCAAGTAATAATTCCATAAAAGACAAATGCCCAGAACCTGCACAATACGAAAGCAGTGATGATGAAGTATAATGTTACAATTATTTTAATGCTACTTAATTTTTCTTATTATTAATTATAATTGTTTAATAATGTGTTGTAATCATGAATTGGTTGTTTAAATTGTTAATAAATGTTAGGTGAACAATTTGACCTTAATCTCCTTCGAATAGAAAGTTAATAGGTATAGTTATATTACTTTCAAAATGTATTTCCATTAAAATAAACTTACAAGAAATAATTGATTTTATATTCATGAGAAAGTGACCAATTTCAAATTTCCTTCGAATAGAAAAATAATAATAGGTATATGACTGTAACAAAACAATACTCAAGTTATTTTTACTATTGCAGTAGATGCAATAGATTAACCAAAACCTATTCAATATGTATTTCCACTAAAATAAACTTACCAGAAATAATTGAATTTTATATTTGTTCATAAATCTTCAAATATTAAACTTAAAAGTGTTAATATTGGACTTGGTCATTTCCTCTTGTATACCGACGCTATATTTCATCCAATAAGTCTTTTACATACGTCATAATTATATAATAATCATGTATTAGCGAATATAATAAACTCTCAATTAATAGATAACAATAAACGCAAAGGAATTTCTCAAATGTAACTAGTAAAAACTATCAAAAAGAAAGCTTGTGAAAATAACATAATATTTACACGTGCAGATAAAGGGAAGACAGTCATAGCTATCGATCTCCCAGAACATATTTCAAAGACCAACTATTTTCTTGAACCAAAACTTTTCCAAAGTATGAAACACGATCCAACACGATATCAAAGACAAGTCAAAGAAGTAATTACTAACTCCACACTATTTAGTGAAAACGACAAGTATTTTTATCAATTATGAATTCACAACCAACCAACAAATTATATTCTTTAATTATATTACATAAAAACAAGATATATCCATTAAACTTGAACATTAATAGAGAATTAGCCTGTTTAGGAATCGACTGTGTATTAGCAATTAAGGACATTAACGATTCTAATTTAAACAAACATGTATTAGTGAATATAATAAACTCTCAATTAATAGATAACAACAAACACCAAGAAATTTCTCAAATGTCACTAGTAAAAACTATCAAAAACAAAGCTTCTGAAAATAACATAATATTTACACGTTCAGATAAAGGGAAGACAGTCATAGCTATCGATCTTCCAGAACATATTTCAAAAACCAACAATTTTCTTAAACCAGAACTTTTCCAATGTATCAAACACGATCCTATCGAGTTATATCAAAGACAAGTCAAGCAAGTAATTACTAACTCCACACTATTTAGTGACAAAAACAGGTATTTTTTAACAATAATGAATCAGTAACCGCCGAAAATATATTCTTTAGTTAAATTACATAAACAAGATATGCCCATTAGACCAGTCGTGTCTTATGTAGCAGTTCCAGCAATTAAACTCTCAACAAAATTAGTAAATATTTTAAAGTTCCACACAGATTTTAAACCAAAATTTGCAATAAAAATTCTTTTTAATTAATTAATTAACTAATCCCTTCTAATGCAAGGCTATTGTCTTTTGATGTACAAAACTTATTTCCCAGTATTCCACCTATGGATGTGATAGATTTAGTAGATTTTACCCTAACTCGGAAACTGGTTAACCCATTGGTGAAACAAGATTTATTAGATTGCTTAATAGTATCTTTAGACCAAATTATTTTGAATTTAATGAACAGATTTATATCCCTAAAGAAGGTTTGATTATGGGAAACCCACTTAGTCCTTTGTTAGCCGAGATTTTTATGGGTAATTTGGAGAATATAATACCATCCTTTAAGTAAAAGTTTTTTATGGTGGTATAGATATTTGGATGATGTCTTTGCTTGCTTTGTTGGAACGGACAGACAATTGAATTCTTTTTTAAATTACATTAACTCAATACATAGTATAAAATTCACTATCGAGATTGAACAGGATAACTCTATTAATTTTTTAGACTTAACTATTACGAAAGCGCAAAACAAATTAGATTTTTCAACATATCATAAACCTTCACACACGGACACAGTCATATATAACAGCTCAAATCACCCTTATACACACAAAATGGCTGCATTTAACTCTTTTATACAAAGACTTCTTAATACGCCACTCTCAACAGAAAATTACAACAAAGAACTTAATATCATTAAACAAATTGCACTGAAAACGGCTACAATCCATCCATTATAGATAAAATTATAAATAAAAAACAAATACAGACAACAGTAAACTCTATTTATCCAAAACCTAATACAGAACACGAACAATTTAAAACAATTACATACATAGGAGAAACAAGTGAAAAAGTTTCAAAACATTTGTCAAAATGTGGTTTAAAAATAGCTTTCAGAACTAACAACACAATAGGAAAATATTTAAAAAACAATAAAACGAAATGTCCAAAATCCCAAAAATCAGGTGTCTACAGGTTAAAATGTGGATCTTGTCCTAAAATTTATATTGGACAAACAGGTAGATCCTTCAAGAAAAGCATTAACGAACATAAAAACGCGTTTAAAAACAATAGTCTAGATTCCAATTATGCTACACACTTAAACACAGAAAAACACATTTTTGACGACAATTTTTATATATTACATACAGCCACAAAAAGTAGAAAATTAAATTTATTGGAAGCCATGGAGATTAACAAAATGAGACATTCGAATGTATTGCTTAACGATCAATTAGATTTAAATCCCTCTCCTTTATTGAACTTAGATTCTCACAACAACATTAATTAAGGTTTTACAGTCATTTTTCGGTATATATAGTAGCAGGTAGTTTGTAAATATTACATTTGATAAAGATACGATGTTGTCGAAACAATTGTTATGTCAAAATATATAATTTCGTGAAAATCTAAACTTTTAGTTCTTATTTATTTTCACAAGATTATTGCCAATTATTGATTTATCAACAACCGATGCAGGAGGAATCCAGGACATTTGTAAATAGAATAACTTAAAAAATGTTTTTATTTTTTCTTTTATTAACAATATTCATGCCTTCATCGTGTACGCAAAAAATCTTAGGGTCTACTATAATAAATATATTATTAAATTTATCACGTAAAGTTCACAGATTAGCGGGTTAAATGTTACGAAAACAAACAAATAGCAAAATATGGGTAACTGTAACAAATATTATTTAATTCGTGTCGTAAATTGTGCCGTTCTATATTCGATTTTTCTTAAAACCCCTTGCAACGATGAAGTCGTTGACGATTCTAGTGGTAGTTGCATGTCTAATTGCTGTTATTTGCGGGTACCGCAACCCAAACACCCTGGAATGGGCTGATTACGCGTACAACATAGACGATGGAAATTGCAGGGGTACAAGGTTGATCTACGAGGATGTTATTAAAAACGCCGATCCTTACACGGTCAAGAAAACGACGGTACGTATTACCATAACTTTTCCAATTCTTCAAGTTGAGCCAACAGAAGGTAACTCAAATTTCTACCAAAGATATTTCGGAAACTATAGGATAGACTAGAATGGATTAAAGTTTACTAATTCTCGTGCATATATAGCATTGAGACATTTTTAGAATTCCGAGTGGTTCCCGAGATATTCGAGAAGCATCGAAAATTTAAGATATTAGTTGTATTTTAAAGTTAACCAAAAGCACAATTTCATTGTCCCTTTTTGAGCTATACGATGAAGCAAAACTATCTCAGCCCGAGTCACTGAAAACAGAATTAAAACACCTTACCTCTGCTCTTCTCTAATATTTACCACATTAAAGATATTGAGCGTTCCATCACAAAATACACTTCACCACAACCTTCCATTAGCAAGCAAAACATCACTAACCACATATTAAAAATTCTTAAGAAATACAACTTCAAAACCAAATTTACCATTTGTCCAGAAACTTCTTCGATCCGTCAGAGACAAAATCCCATTTGAGATGCTAGGAGTTTACAACATTCCATTTATATACGGCAAAGAAGACATTGGAGAGACGATACGAAAAATATCAACATTGAACAACAGCCTTAATAGTACGACAAATAAACTCATCAGCAATTGTCGATCACAATCATGAAACCGAACATAAAATTTTATTCAATAAAACTAAAGATTCTTGCATGTAATCCATTCCTCTACCAACGAAAAATCCTTGAGTCTATAGAAATCTAGAAGCAACCTGACAATCTTAACCGCGACTCAGTCACCAACATGGGAATCAGTCATACGATACTCCCCCTCAAACAATATATAAGCAGGTGCAGAGTAAAATGCGAGTCAGTTTTAGTCAAGCTTTGAAGAAACCAACAGGACTCGGCAAAAACCGACAAAGGAGGAATCTAGAAGTTTTTGTAAAAAGTATGTATTCTATTTTTGATGGTCTGATGGTTTCTAAATAGCAGTGTTTCTGTATTGGATTTTCGCACTATGCTAACTATGCTGCTTGAACCCACTGTTAACTGCAAAGAAGATTGAGGTTTTTTCTGCAACTAAGCATGTCTTTTTAGGTATCCCAAGTTCTGCTATAACGTTTCACATTTCCACTTTTATTATACTGTCTCATTTTAGGTCTGTTTAAAATCACTAAAAAAATGATGTAATGTTTTATTATAATCTCAGCGTTGCCCCATTAACTCTCTAATTGTGAAAATGTTGTCTATTTTCTCGCAATCCACACTAGTAGTCACTTATTTGATCCTCGAAGTAGTAGGCCAATTTCTCCAGTATAATACGATTTTAATCCCTTTTTTGTGTATGGTGATTAGAGAAGAAACTTAACTAATCTCTATCTCTTACTACCGTTCCAGAAATATACGTAAACAATAACTTGCTTACATGATACGGCTAAAGAAGTACTGAGAATAAGAAGGAAACACCGGAATGAAATCTGGTTGATCGAAGAGATCACATTGGCACTAACTAAGAAGAAGAAAACTTACTTGCAGAGGGTATTATCACGCGTTCCTCTCAAGTTGGTGGTATTTTTTCTTTTGCCTATATTTCCCCATTCTTAAGACATCCGCTGGCTAAGGGTTGCCTTTTCAACTTCAACTATTATTGGTGCTTCCACTAAGAGCGCGGTTTTATTGTTGTATGATTTGCCTGTATATTCAGCAATTTGTCGAAGTACTTACTCCAGTACTACTTCCTTCTCGTTGGCTTGTCCTTGGTCATTGTGGATAACCGTTCCGGTCTGAACCCTGAATCAGTTTTTTTCTTTGTATCATTTACCTTTTGTACGGGCTTGGACGCTTATTGGACTTAATATTTTTCTCATACAACGGCAAGCAGTTTGACATAAAAACCCTCTTGTAATCCAGCATGAATTCTGATTATACGTTTTTCTGTATTAGAAGGTACTTTTCTCTGACGGTTTTTACTGGAATCAACCAAGGTGGAATCAATTTTAATCTATTTCGAATCTATACTTTTCAATTTCCTGAAGCTACTTAAATCTCCAATCACTTGTTTTTTGTCTATTTTGCGGTATTTCAATCTCATGGACGGATTCACTTTTATTGCACGAAGTTTGCCTAAGCCTATGACCGATGCCGAAACAGGCAAGATATACAGGGTCTTCCAACTTCCGTATTCCCTTAACTCAGAAACTACGAACCAAAGAAAAAAGAGTTAAATAGAAAAGTTGCGTAGTATTATTTAGATCTTTTAAATTTATATTTTTCATTTAAAATTGATGATCCGTTCACAAAACACCCTGCATATTATTTAATTTTTGCATTGGATATATCTCGTGCTTACCTTAGTCTAAGCCTTTTTGGCAAATCTTAAATTTTATACCAAAAATTTAAAATTAATTAAAAATTAAAAATTTCCACTATGAAGAAGCCTTAATTATTTAATGTCGGATGGATTCCTTGTGGAACAGCAATTGTTACATATTAAATGGATATTTTGGACATAAATTGATACAAGGAGATCAAAAATGAAGTACAAAAATTAAATTTTAATAAACGTATTTTTTTTCAAAAGGAAACATTTCATTTGAATAATTCTATCCAATTTGACATTAAAAACTTAAGAGATAAATTCCATTAACATCACCAAAGCCATTAATACTTATGCCATGCCGGCCCTGGAATATTCGTTTGGAGTTGTACACTGGTGTAAAAAAAAACCACCCCAGATCATCGATGGAAAGAACTACTCTACCTAGGCACGAATGAAGAAGACGTATAGCCGACGTAGTCAACACGCGCTACCAACAAATTCGAAACCTGCGCAAATACTTCCAGCAGAAAATCTCCATTAAGTGGTCATAAAGGCAGACCAAGCGTTTACACCGCTAACTCTAATTGGAGAAATGAAGTTAGGAAAACCAGATACGACTCTGGAAAAAATTCAAAGCAAAGAACTGCACGGCCGATATCAATGAGATATAAACCGAAACAACGTCGACAAAGATGCTTCCCTTGAATGACTGAGGATGGGCTATTCAATGCCAGAAACAGGAGGGTTTGTGGTAGCGATGGAAGACCAGGTTGTCAGTACTCAAAACTATCGAAAGTACATCATGAAAGAAAACACTCGCACAAACTAGACACAACAAAATATATAGAGAGGCACAAGAAGGTTGCATACATTATATACCTAGAATTGGCAAAGAAATACCATATTCCTGCCTCCAACCATCACCAGTCATCGAGAATAACAAAGCGAAAATCTACGGGGACAAAACCATAATCACAGACAAGGAAATCAGGCATAATCGACCAGACTCGACAGTTATTGATAAGGAGACAAATACCGCATATTTAGTTGATATATCCATCCCCAACACACGCAACATCGACCCTAAGAAGGCTGAGAAGATCCAAAAATATGACGGTCTGAAATTGGAAATTGAAGAACCGTGGCATATTTAGAGAGTGAAGGTCGTCCCATTGATCACATCCAGCATGGGTGTTGTACCGACGGAACTGAAAACCAACTTCACTAGACTGGGTCTAAACTGCAATACTTACCGTATGATGTGCAGAAGTCGGCACTCTTGGGTGCAGCGAACATTACCCAATCGGTCATTGAGGGGAACGCTTGAGGACTTAGTCTTGCTGCCCCGCAGCTAACGAAGTTCTGATAACCTCTAACCAGAATTTAATAATAATAATAATAATAATAATGATAATAATAATAATAATAATAATAATCAACTTTATTTCACATTGTGTCCTAAATACATTACTTAAAAATAATATACCAAACACAAAAGAGATCGGCGTCAAAAAAGGAAAAAGCACCAGATATTTTAACAAATTTCAATTACATCGTATTTACAATTATTTAAATATTACAGAAAAAATCTTCTATGGAGTAAGGTTCTAACTCTATCAATAACTTTTTTATTGTGTATTTAAAGATTTTTAGATTTGCAATTGTTTTTACCTCATTTGGTAATTTATTATACAATCTCAGGTACATATAATAAGGACTCCTTTCAGTTAAAGTTAAACGGTGAATAGGGTAATTTACATTTAGGGTTCTGGTATTATACCTATCAAATATCTGTAGTTCGAAGTCCTTTCGATTTTTAAAAAATATATAAAGCATATACAGTAAAAATACCTTCAGTCTTGAACACCCCTCTACAGCTCTCTCTAAATTGCATTTTTTTGACAGTGCGAAGAGTCCTCTTTTGAACCACGAAAATTTTCTGTAGTTGACCACTACCCCCTCAAAAGATACTTCCATACCTCATGCGCTACTGAAAGTTTGCAAAGTACATAATTTTTAACGTTTCCTTATTCATATAATTTGCAACGACTCGAATTCCATAACAAATTGAATTTAATTTATTTAGCAGATAATTAATATGTTCAGACCAATCAAGAAATTCGTCAATTTGTAACCCTAAGAATTTAGTGCTATTTACAATACTAATATTTTCTTTACCTATCCGTATTCTTAATGGTATTTCAACTCGACATAATTTAGTTCTAAACATAATTAAATTCGTTTTCTCTTTGTTTACTATCAATTTATTTCCTAGAAACCAGTCATAAGCCCTTGTAAAAATATCGTTGCCTTTATCACTAACGTCAGTGAGATTATTTCCACCTACAAGCAGGTTGGTATCATCCGCATAGCATATTATGCTCTCTTCTTCTGACTGTGTTACGAAATATCGAAAGTCATTCACAAAAATGATAAATAAAATTGGACCTTGTGCTATGCCCAGACTATTTTCCTTAATATCCGAAAAATAACTAGTGCCACTTTGGGTTATTCTTACTTCCTATTATTCTTCCTATTAAGTATGATTCAAACAATTTTAGAACATTACCTCTTACATAAGTCCCTGTGTATACAGTCGTATTGGTATTGGTATTGGCATTAAAGGGGGGCGCCCTCGCGAGCGTCCAAGCACTTAGGCCACCAGATGGGCCTGTTGTGCCCCCAGGCCGCTCT